TTCCCCCAGCAGCCACGCTACGAGGCCAGCAAGCCCCAGGCCCAGCCATTCCCCCAGCAGCCACGCTACGAAGTCAGCAAGCCCCAGGGCAGTGAAGCCAACTCTCAAAGTGGAGGTGTGCTGCAAACCAAATCTGGCATGTGGGACTTGGCTGATCCAAGAAGTTTTAGACCCATTCCAGTTTCATCAAGAAATCTCTACTTGTGGCCACAGCAACAGGCACCCGTCTACAACAGATATTAGCGATAGGTATTTCTGAATGGTTGACTTTTATTTGTTTTGTTTTGTTTCTAAGAAGCTATAAAAACTCCATTATTTAATTTATTTTTCCTCTCCTCAGGTTTCTGGCCTCACCTGCAGCTCGTTCTGGCATGGCATCAGATTTTCTAAAATTAATAAAGTGCACAGAGCTGCAGTCCCTGGCTATTGTTTGTTCAGTTTTATGCATGCACTCATGATAAACTGAGCTGCTCAGATCTAGGTTTGTACTGTTGCTACCATAATGTTGCAGTATACAAACTGATGCACAAAATGCACTCTTTTGTTCTTTTTCCCTGAAATAGTTAAACCTAAAATTCCTCTCAAGCCCCAAAGACTGTAATTATCTTACAGTTGTGTAGCTTAGCAAAGCAAACCTGCTTAGCTTTAATGTTTCAAGTGTTCAGGGTTCACAACCACAATTTTCACTTCAAGAACAAGGGGTGGAAACATGGCAGTTTAATGCCTTCTATCAATGGCAAAAATTACAGTCCACTGAGGACTACAACCAACCAGATACGGAAAATGGTGGTAGTCTGCCAAGCAGGTGGTCACTATTAGGGATTAGCATAAACTCAGGCAGTTCAAAGCACAAGCAGCGATTATAGCTTTGAAAGGTGTGGATGTCATTCCTTCACCATCAGTATCAGGTGTTCTCTTTTTGTGCCTTAAAAGTAAACTGTCTTAACAGGCTCAGATTAAAGTGTTTTTATTCTGTAGAGAATATTCACTATTGCTTTGTCTTTAGACAAAAAGTCGAGTATTAATACACATCTCTCATCGATGTATCATCAAATGCTACTTTCTAGTCTTTTCACTTTTCTGCTGCTTCTTGCCCAAACACCGTCCCACCCCTCCTCCTCTCTGATAGCTGTTATTAGCTTAGTCATCTCCAGTTTGGGGAGATAATGACAGTGCTGTTTTTTAGGACACTGACTTCCTGTGTGTGTGGTGTTTCTCCCTGTCATTAAGCAGCGAGTCTGTGTGGTCAAAATGACACAGCTTTGACTGCAGGAGACACTTCACCATCCGATCCCAGCTCCAATAA